TTTCATTGGAGTATAAATTTCCAAAATAGTTTCTGATTATCTTCTGTATATCAGTAGTGTCCGTCGTGATATTTCCTTTTTCATCACGAATTTTAGTATTTTGAGTTTTCTCTCTCTTTCTCTTCATTAGCGTAGCTAAGGGTTTATCAATTTTATTTATTTTTTTCAAAGAACCCACTTTTTGTTTTGTCAATTTTTTGAATTGTTTCTTTTGTTTCAGTTTCATTGATTCCGGCTCTGATTTTAATTATTCCCGGTCTTCTACTGCTTTTGGTGTTGATTTGTTCTTCTTTTTCTAGGGCTTTGAGGTGTAGCATTATTAGGACATTTATTTGTTAGCTCTCTATTCTTTTAATGAATGATCTCAATGCGTTGCACTTTCCTCTTAGCACTGCCTTCGTAGTGTCCCAGAGATTTTGATATGTTGTATCAGTGTTCTCATTTACCTCTACGTATTATTTTATCTCATCCCTGATTCCTTCTGCTATCCATTCCTCATTCAGTAGCATATTATTTAGTCTCCAGGTGTTGGAGTAGCTTCTATTTTTTTTTTTTATTTTATCATTGATTTCTAATATCATTCCATTATGATCTGATAGAATGCAAGACGTTATCCCTATGTTTTGTTTTTGATTTGTTAAGAGTTGCTTTGTGGCACAAGATATGGTCTATTTTAGAAAAGGATCCATGTGCTGCTAAGAAGAATGTGTGTTTGCTCATTGATGGATGAAATATTCTATGTTAAGTCTAAATTGCATTTTTTACTTCCATAGCTTCTTTATTTAGTTTTTGTTTGGAGGATCTATCCAGTGGTGACAGAGGAATGTTAAAGTCACCCAGTATTATTGTGTTGTGGTCTGTTTGCTTCTTGAAATTGAGAAGGGTTTGTTTGATGCTCTTCAGAGGCTCCATTGTGTAGGGCATAAATATTTACAATTGTTATGTCTTGTTGGTGAATGTTTCCCTTAAGCAGTATGAAGTGTCCTTCTTTGTTTCTTCTGATTAACTTTGGCTTGAAGTCCACTTTATCTGATACGAGGATGGAAACCCCTGCCTGATTACGTGATCCATGTGAGCAACGTTTTTTTTTTTTTTTTCCCCCCATCCTTTCACCTTCAGCCTGTGGCTGTGTTTGCCTGTAAGACAGCATATGGTTGGGTCTTGTTTTTGTAATCGAATCTGCCAGTCTACATCTTTTGATTGATCAGTTTAGGCCATTCACATTCAAGGTTATTATTGAAATATGACTTGTATTTTGAAATATGACAGTCATTTTGGTTTATTTTTGGTTTTTAATTTGACTTAGTCTCTCCTTTGGTTGACTGTTCCTTTAGTGTAGTTCCTCCCTTTGCTGGTTTTCACTTTTTCCTTTTTCCATTTCATCCTCATAGAATATTTTGTGGGGTATGTTCCGTAGTGCAGTCTTTCTAGTTGTGAATTCTGTTGAAGATCACTTCAAGAAAGAGATAGAGATTCTGAAAAGAAACCAAGCAGAAATCCTCAAAATGAGGGGAATCAGTAAACCAAATTAAAAATTCATAGGAAAGTATCACCGACAGACTAAACAACCTGGAAGACAGAACCTCAGGCAATGAAGACCAAATACATAATCTTGAAAACAATGTTGTTTATTAAATATTTTTTCAAAAATATCCATTTTTCAGTTGTAGTTGGACAAAATACCTTTATTTTCTTTCTTTATTTTTATGTGGTGCTGAGGTTCAAACCCAGGGCCTCGCATATGCTAGGCGAGTGCTCTACTGCTGAGCCATAACCCCAGCCCCCTCATGGAAGGTTTGTATTTCATCTTCAAATCTGAAGCTTAATTTTGCTGGATACACGTTTCTTGGTTGGCATCCATTTTCTTTCAGAGCTTGGTATATGTTATTCCAGGACCTTTGACCTTTGAGGGTCTGGGTTGAGAACTCAGCTGAGATCCAAATTGCTTTCTCCCATCTGATATTTTTCTCTTGTGGCCCTTAGAATTCTATCCTTCTTCTCTGTGTTAGGCATTTTCATTATCATGTGCCATGGTGTGAGTCTGCTGTGATCTTGTACCTTTGGGGTCCTATAAGCCTCTTGTATTTGATTTTCCATTTCATTCTTCAAGTTTGGTAATTTTCTGATATTATTTCATTAAAAAGATTGTGCATTCCTTTGGTTAGTATCTCTGTGCCTTCATCTCTCCCGATAAAGCTCAGAGTTGGTCTTTTCATGTTATCCCATAATTAAGGGAAGTTCTGTTCATGGTTTCTTACAGTCTTCTCTGTGTGGTCAACATTGTTTTCAAGATTATGTATTTTGGGGCTGGGGATGTGGCTCAAGCAGTAGCATGCTCGCCTGGCATGTGTGCGGCCCAGGTTCGATCCTCAGCACCACATACAAACAAAGATGTTGTGTCCGCCAAAAAACTAAAAAATAAATATTAAAAAAATTTTCTCTCCCTCTCCCTCTCCCTCTCTCTCTCTCTCTCTCTCTCTCTCTCTCTCTCTCTCTCTCTCTTAAAAAAAAGATTATTATATTTTTGTCTTCATTGCCTGAGGTTCTGTCTTCCAGGTTGTCTGGTCTGTTGGTGATACTTTCCGATGAACTTTTAATTCGGTTTACTGATACCTTCATTTTGAAGATTTCTGCTCAGTTTCTTTTCAGAATGTCCATCTCTTTGTTGAACTTCACCTCCTGAAATTTATCTCTGATTTCTCTCTTTGCGTTGTCCTTTATGTTTCCACTTGTGTGGTGTAGGAGCCTGATCTTGGCCCCTTACATCACCTGCGGACCCCATCCTTCCTGGTCTCTGATTTAGCCCCCCGCCATGGATCTGTCCGGCCCTGCCCTTTTGAATTCCCAGTCAGTCACTTCTCTCTCAGGTGGTTCTGGCAGATCAGTTTAATTATGTACATTCTAAACTCCATCTCTTGCATTTCTTCTACTGTGTTGTCAATGGATTCCATTATCGGAGCATCTTGGTTTGTTTGGGGCACTTTGTTCCCTCAATTTTCATGTTGTTTCTGCGTCTTCCCATCTAGCAGTGGGGATCTGAGGCTGTACAGTTTCTACCCTGTAGATTTACAGTGTCCCTGAAGGTTTCCAGTACCTCACCTTTAAGGGAGAGACCAATATTAATAGTACCCAATGCAAACAATATACAGCCTCACACCCAATAACTCCTATTAAGACATCCACAGTTTGGCCGCAATAAACACAATTGGTGTGTTCAATACTGTCTACAATATGAACACTTAATTTGCAAAAGGGTTTACAGTTTCAGATGTTGGACGAAGAGAGGTGGTGTAGGAAGTGATGTTCATGGGGAAGGAGGAGAGAAAATAGACATCCAAAATACAGGAAGAGTGAAAGAGGAATTAATAGAGGTTGGCTGTTAGCAGGAGAAAAGAGAGAAAGAGAATCCAAGGAAATAGACAAGTAAGGGAAAATGTATGTAAAATTTAAAGAAATTATGAAATGAAAAAAGTAAAAATAAAAGAATACATAACAAAACTGTAATATACTATGCAGACATTCAAGCCCTCAATAAACTGATGCATGAAAATACTTGGTTTCAAAAATGGTAGAGATGTGAGAGAGAGAGAGGCAGAGGGAGAGGGGAAGGGAGAGGGAGAGGAAGAGAGAAAGGATCTTGTTGGAAAATAGAGCAATTGTTGCCGTTGGAGCTCAAAAGTTTCTCAGCTTCCCTTCTCAGCCTATAGGTGGGGTTGTCTGGAGTTTGATGGTAGCTCCACCCTAAGGATGGTGAGGACAAAATATATGAAGACACTTGTCGGTCCACGTTGGAAGACTGCACCCCAGGAATCTCCTTTGGTTTCCGCTCGTGTGATGTAGCTGCCTGATCTTGGCCCCTTACATAGCCTACAGACCCTATCGTTGCTGGTCTCTGATTTAGTCTCTCAGTCGATCTCTCCCGCCCCCACCGTTTTGAATTCCTGGTCAGGCACTTCTCTCCCAGGTGGTTCTGAGGGCTGGGCACCAGGGCCTATGCACTGGTGGTGGAGAGCTGTTCCCTGTGGGGCAGATCAAGACCAGGTGCTGAGATTGGTGGGCCAGCCAAGTAGCTGCAAGCAATGGGCTGGGCTGGGAGCTAGGGAGGGGATGGGAGACTCGGGATTGGTGAGCTGGAGAACCCTATTGGGTGCTGGACTGAGGCCAGACCTGGCAGGATCAGGGGATTTGTGGGTGCCAGACTGGGGATGGAATCAGGGTCCAGGCTAGTGCGAGGATCTGGTGAGTGCTGGCCCGAGTGGGTACCAGGAACCCAGTGGGCGGCGGACTAGCTGGCTGTGCGAGCTGAGAGCAAGATGCCCTCACACCCTCTTCTAACCTTCCAACCTGCAGTCGGCAGCCCCATGAGTCCCCGCACGCTTCAGGAGTTGCCGAGCTGGGGAGAGCCCACCTTTCTCAGGGCTCTCTAACCTGTGTTCCCCCAGGCGGAATGCTCCCAGTTTCCGACTTTCCACAGGATTGCTGGGCTCACTAGCTGCAAACTCAGGGATCTGGCTTTCAGTTTCCTTAGGCTCAGCCATGCTGCAGTCCAGAGATGGCTCCAGGATCACGGATGATTGATAAAATCTGGTGGAGAGATTTTTTTTTTTTTTTTTTTTAATATCTGATTAGTGATCAAGCAGTCCATAGTTCGGCTAGGGCAGACAGCTCCTCAAGTCTCAGCATTTTTCCCTCTAAGCCTCAGAGAGACGTGGTATTTATTCCTGCTGTTGGGGGACCTGAATGCAGAGTTGGATGCATACGTGCATTTTCCTGGGAAGTGAGTTCGAAGCTTGCAGCAGGTTCTCAAACTTGAGGGCAGTTTCTAATGCCTTTTTGTCTTCACGGCCGTGTCTTCTTTCTCATGTTTTTTCACCCTCAGCTCCAGGAGGACCATCGAACCTGAGACCTCAGGCTCCAGATAAACTAAACTCCCAGAGGGGGCGATGGCTCTTGGCCCAGGCACTGCCACCGAGGCCACCTGGCTGTGCATGCGGGACCCTATGCTGCAGGACTTCAGCAAGGACTGTGAAGTGTTCCGCCAGCATTTCAGGCAGTTCCAGTACACGCAGGCGGTGGGGCCTCGGGAAGTTTTCAGCAGGCTCTGGGAGCTTTGCTGTGGGTGGCTGAAGCCAAAGATGCGGTCTATGGAGCAAATCCTGGAGCTGCTGGTGTTGGAGCAATTCCTAACTATACTGCCCACGGAGATGGAGACCTGGGTGAGCGCATATGGCCCGGAGAGTAAAGAAAGGCTTTTGGCCCTGATAGAAGACTGGCAGAGACAGCGTCACATACCAGAGCTGCAGGTGAGAAAAGAGTTTGGGGTTTCGGCTATTAGTGCAAAAGAGGAGCTACGGCAGCAGGGCCTGGAACACTCATTTTGTCTGTGTGTCAGTCCACAGCCCCAGTGGTTCTCCAGATCCCTTTTCATTTTCCCTTCCCCTGGAATCAGCCTCTCAGTCCATGATTCCGAACCCTATCAGACCCTGTCTCGCATCCACAACACATATTCTGTAATGTCTCCTCAATTATCCGCAAGTGAAATTCACAAATGACATCATCTACCCACGTGCATCAACCATGAGCTTCAATAATTTGCTCTATGGCCTGCAGGCCTCATCTGGCCACAGTCTGTTTGTATGTGCCCTGCGAGCCCCTGGTGATTTTTACCGTCTTCGTGAATCGGTTCCCCAAAAGAGGAGCCGGAGGGGTGTCACAGGCCTGTCATCCCATCCGCTTGGGAGGCTGAGGCAGGAAGATGGCGAGCTTGAGGCCAGGCTCCACAACTTACTGAGAACCTGTCTCCGATAAAACATAAAAGGCCGGAGGTGCAGCTAAGTGCTAAAACCTCCCTGGCTTCCAACCCTAGTACCTACCAATCATATAAGATCTCAACAAGTAAATTTAAGTGAGGAGGAAGACAGAAAAGAAATGACAGGGTAAATGTAGCCCACACTCTAAAATATGTACTATTTTGGCTCTTCAGAGAAAGTTTGTCAACTGTGGGTCAAGTCGAGTCTGGAGAGGATGTAAAGGAGAATGAACATAGTTGGTTCTTAACGAATGTGCATTTCTGCATAAACATGCTGGGGCTGGACTTCACTGGAAGACATCATGAAGTTGTCAGATGCCTACATCTCTGCTTAGAGTCACTGGGATGGGACAGTCAGACGTTGAGTAAGACTCAAGCACTATGCGCTGTTGCTACTTGCCGCATGATCTCCCCAACTGAAAAACTGTCTTAGTAAATCAGAACAAGTAGAGTAACCATCCTTTGATTTGCACAGTGCATTCCTAGGAAATCCAAGTCATGCTAAAATATGCAAAATTAGTCTCTCGGTATCTGGTCACCACGATGAGGTACTTTAACTACATGAATGCCTGAGGGGGGAACTGCACAGTTGGTAGGGACCCGGAACAACTCTGGTTGGTGAGCAATGCTCCCATCTCTGGTCCACCAAATCCCCGTAGCCGGCACCAGCCAGCATATGTTGGAGGCTCCACAGGGGCATTGGAACTGCCCTGGGTTCAGAAGTACCTACCACAGGATGCCTGTGTTTGGGGAACGCAGGGCTGAGGGGAGGGCGGTGTGTCCGGGAGAGGGGAGCATGTGCTTCTAGCAGGGTGTTGGAGTGCTGGGTGTCCTGTCGGGCAGGGCTCTGCAGGAGCTGTTGGCTTCAGGGCACAGAGAGGCCTGACCAGGAGGCTTCTAAAGGATCCTGCCTCCCCGGAGTGGAATGCGTTAGTGGTTTCCCTTCCCTCCTGTCTTATTAGTTTTGTTTACCACACAAGATTTCGTCTTCAAGTGCTCTAGACTGGCACTTGAAGTGCTCCTGCCCAGCACAAGAGCCACGGGCCACGTGTGGCTTTTGAGCACTTGAAATGTGGCCAGTGCTGGTTAAGACCTGCTGTGGGTGTAAACTGCATAGCCCATGCAGAAGCTGTGAGGGGAAGAGGAGGTAGTACTTGGTAATTGTTTGGATTGATTACATGCTGCAATCCTGATGGTTTCCATATGTCGCGTTAAATACAACATGCTATTAAGATTGGGGACTCCCCGGTTCCTTTTTTACACTGTGTCCTGCGAATACTGGAAAATGTTAAACTACACACGTGGCTCTATTTTGACTGCTAAGGCAGCAAGGTTTCCTTTGGTGTGAGGGCAAGGTGGATTTTCTCCCAATGGGTCTAGACTCTTGAGCAATGGACTCTGGCATTTCCCCCAGGTTGACGTGCATGACTTGCTCTTTGAAGAACAGGCGCCTTCAGGAACTGTACCCATGTCTCCAAACATGCACCTGGAGACATCTGCACTCCAGGGACTGGGACCTGTCCAGGAGGCTCCCGTGACAGGGGCCTGGATCCCACAGGCAGGGCCTCCGGAGCTGAACTATGGTGCTGCTGGGGAATGCCAGCCCTTTCTGGATCCTGGTAAGGCGGGGTTTTCTTTCTGCTCTTTTGTGTCTGACCGAGCGCACAAGAGCTCTCAAAGGTTGGGGTTGCTGGGAAACATGGATTCCCCAGTGGAAATGGACCTCTTGGATGGAAAGGAGCGGGAGGAAGAGGAGATGTCTCTCTGGGAACAGCAGGGGAAAATGCATTTTGGGTACAGCGGCATGGGGAACAGGTGAAAGTAACCACCCTTCTCATGAGTAAGCAGTCACTCAGCCCCAGCACCACCTGAGGTACAGGTTTAACAAGGTCTCTGAGCAAAGTGCTGCACACACCACCCTTTGAGAACCACGGCCCTGGACACAAATGGGTGCGTGCTAGCAGGAGAAAAGGCCAGGTGGAGAAAGGCAGCGGGACTGGATGCCTGGGTGTTCCTGTTTCCCTTCCCTTTGCCATTTCCTTACATCGCTACCCACGCCCTGTCCCAGCCCTCCCCTCCCCCACTGAAGCTTGGGCCCAAGTGTGGTGGGAGTCCTCTCCCTTTCCCCAGCAGCTCAGCGTCACCATGTTGGCACACCAAGACACTGTGTAGTCCTGAGAGCACCAAAGAGCCCTGCAGATGAAAATAGGTGGAGAACGGTCCATGTTGCAAAACAGAAATGTGGGATGCCCCCATCACTAGCACACGGCCAGGGCTTAGCAACTGTGTCCCCTTCCACTTCTCCACACTTATTCCCACAGTCAACGTTCTGAGCACCGTGAAGAGCCAGGCATCTTGCTGGACCCTGTGACTAGACAGTCCACGAGGCAGGAAAGCAGCCCCAGCTGTCCCGGCACCCACTTCTGGTGGACAGTCCAGATTTGTTGGATATGTGATGGGAACGTGTGTTGGAGGGCTTAGGATGCTGGCAGAGCACACAGCAGGGGCCCTTGCCATCATTAGGCTGAGAGGGAAGACCTCTGGAGGAGGGGGATCTGGGGTAGTAGCTCTAGGATGGATTGGAGTCAGCCATTGAGTGTTGGGAGTGAGGAGAGGGAGCCTTGGCAGAAGGGCTGCAAGTACAGAGGCCCCAGGGCAGAGAGAAGACCTGCTGCTACACTCTGAGGGGTGGGCAGGAGTAGGGGTGCTGTTTCATTGAGGATAGATTGAAAAGGGGTGACTCAAAAGATAATGAGCAGTTTTGAAATAGAGGACTCATGGATTGATGGGGTGTCACGTGATTGACACGAAAGGTTAAAAGGTGGCATCCTGGTTGCTGGCCAGTGAACTGGTTAGACGACAGTATTAATCACCGACACAGACAACACTGGGCAGGATCAGGTTTTGTAGGTCTAGATGAGTTGACCTTTGAACATGTGGAACTTGGGGCAGTCCTGGGTTTCCAGGTGGAAATGGCCAGTGTGGAATGGGAGCTAAGAAGGGACACCAGGGTTTGAGACAGAGGGACCAGGGCAAAAAGGGCAGGTCATGTTCGTTGTATGACTACTGCTCAGGTAGTTTCCTTCACAACCCAGAGTGGCTGGCCTCAGGGCTCAAGCCAAGAGCCACCCACCCTGCAGCAGAAGATGGCCCAGGGACTCGCCTTTTGCTTGTCAGTAGCACTGGATGTTGACAGCAGCACCCTGGAGCTACGCCGTAAACCACAATGAGCATCCTTCTTGGGCCATGTGTCCACAGGAGACATTTCTCAAAAAAGGGTCATTTGTTCAGTGGATGGAGACCTTTTAAGATATAAATAGACATGGTCAAATGTCCTCACAAACAATTGTGTGCCGGCACCCTCCTGCTGAAGCTTGTGTGAGTGTCAGTTTCCTTCTGTTAACCTACATTGGGTCTCCTCTTGGCCTGTAACAGGAGCCACGGCTGTCCTCACCATCTTGGCACACAGAAATGGTGCCAAGATCTGTGAAAATCTGGTGGATGAGTGTCAGGTTCATTCAGTATTATTGTTGGTAATTTATTCCACGTAACAAGAGTGGCGGCCAGACACAGTGGCACGCCGCTGTAATCCCGAAGGCTCAGGAAGCTGAGGCAGGAGGATCACAGGCTCAAAGCCAACCTCAGTAACCTAGTGAGGCCCTAAACAACTTAGTGAGACCCTGTATCTAAAGAATTTTTTTTTTTTTCAAAAAAGGGCCGGGGATGTAGTTCAATGGTTAAGCTCCCCTGGGTTCAATCCCTGATACCAATAAATAAATAAATAGATAGATAGATACATAAATCCCCCCAATAAAAAAAAAAAAAAACAGTGTCTAAAAAGAGTGGCAGATGTGGACCCAGGTTAGATGGGGGCGCGGAATGGGTTTAGGTGCCATGTACTAGGAGCGGAAGGTCGGGAAATGCAAACCACTGAGAGTGACAGGAGTAGGGCTTCCATAGGCCAGGGAATGGAGGCCCCTGGATCCCAGCGCTGCTCAGGACCATCATGACTGGCAGGAAGGGCTGAATTGGTGCTCACTCCGAAAATGCATTGGGTTAATACCCAGGAAGAGGCTCCAGTTTGAGCCAACCTCTCTGAAAGCTGGCACCAAGAGCGTGGTGCTGGGGCCGCAGTTCCCTTTGCTCTGTATGTGGTGCTTACAGGAAGCAGCAGTGGGATATGAGAGCCAAGGGGAAAGCCCGGGACGCAGGGCTGCCCTGTGGCACAACTCGTGGCTACTAGATGCTGCTAGAGGGCTGCTCTCGGTCCCTGACTAGGTCTTTAGCTTCCATTCCAACCAAGGGACTGGTGTGTGGCCTGGTTTCAAAGGGACATTTGATGAACTCTGCAGACTTTGACAGGTTCAGGTCCTAGGGGAATGGTGTGGAAGCAGACCTAGGTGCATTTCCTGCCTTCGCATACTGTTTGGCTTCTCACCCATTGGGGATATTCCCAGCCCCCATGTTTCTTCCACTGCCTTCCCGCTTCCTCCCACTCCCATGTTGCAGTTTCCTCCCAGTTCACTTGATGGCAGCTTCCCTTTGACCTCTGCCCTCTGGCGTTATTTGAGCTGTGCCTCCTTATCCTCCTTATCCTCTGATCCCATGTGAGCATAACCGAAACTGTGAATTCAAGCAGATTTTTATTTGAAATGCATGTCATTTTTCGGAATCTGGAGTCGTCTCTCAAGAAAAACTCAACTTCAGGTGCGCGCGCGCGCACGTGTGTGTGTGTGTGTGTGTGTGTGTGTGTGTGTATCCTGTGTCTTGATATGATGTTCTGAAGCTTAGATTTCTCTTGGGGTTAGCCTGGTGCAGCTAGCTACCTTGCCACTGTGGTTCAGTGATGCTCGAATTTCAATACCAGCCTCTGTTCGGATCCCACTTTAACATTTCTACCGACAATTCATGTTGCAGTAGCAATGTGGCCAGAGATGAGGAAAGAGAGGTAGTCAGCCACAGAGATTGTCAGTGAGGGCAGGGACGGTTGGGCACGGGAACGTCGAGTGGTAGAGAGGTTACCTGGTTGTTCTAGATGGACACTGTTTGTATTTTCTTGGGGTATTGGAAGAGGAATCCGCTTCTAGGCTTCAGCTGAGACACACATACAGAGGTGCTCCTGGCTGGTTTCCAATCCAATTCAGTTGTCATTTTCATTGTTACAGAAGTGAGACTAGTAAGCGGTTTTCCAGCTTGTGTTGGCCCCTGCCCCTGCCTCTCTCTGCCCCTTGCAGTAGTAAGAGGACATCCCTCAGCTTCCATATGCCAACACACAACAGGAAGATTTACTTTGCATTTTGCCCCTCAGCTAAATACTCTCAGTCCCAAAGTTCCCGTGAAGCTCTTTCAGTTCAGTGACTTTACCCTGGATGGAGCCCTGACCCTTCCACCCATCAGAGGAGAAGGCCTCCAAGTAGGCACATTGGGCTTGTCCCCTCACTTGCTTTTGTTTTCTTGGAATTAAAACACACACACCAACACTGTGTGGCAGAGGCTCTGGGCAAAGGAAGCCTGACTGAGGAGGAAGCAGATGTGGAGAGGGCGCCTGTCCAAGGCAGAGGAAAACCTGGGGTGATTCACACTCTCCTTCCTCCCCAATCTTCCCTGTGGCCAGGACATGCCACCCCAGAGTGTCGCTGGAGCTGCCGGCTGGACCGCAGGAGAAAGCCAGGGATGGTGGAGCTGCTGGGCGCCCAGCGCATGGAGCAATCACCTGAGTCCAGGAGAGGTAGGCTAGGGCTCAGCCAGCGCGCCAGCGCCCCAGCGCCCGGGAACAAAGAAGAGAAACCTGCAGCCTTCCTCCGGGGGAGGGGGTGGGGAGGGTGCCTGGGGGTTCCCACCTTTCCTGGAGGCTGGGAGTAGAGCTCTTCTTTGGCTCCGTGTCCCTGTTTTCCCTGGAACACGGGGACTCCTGCACCTGCCATTTCTTGGGACGGGAGGCAAAGGAAGTGCGCCAGAGCAGAGAAACCTGGGGTGCAACGTCCATGTCTCGTTTGTTTAGACGCGAAAGCACTTCGTGCTCGTCCATGCGTGGGCTGTCAGAAGCAGGAACCTCTGAGGGCTGGCCCCGCAGTGGAGCTGCTGAGCTCCTCCGGGAAGCGCCTGCACCTTCCGAGGCCCTGTGAGGCGGGAAAGCCCCTGCCCCTGGCAGCCCACAAGCCGAGGAAGCCGCGAGAGAAACCCCATCGCTGCGGCCAGTGCGGACAGTGCTTCGCTTGCAAGAAGCGCCTCTCTGCTCACCTGAAAATCCACACGGGGGAGCTGGGTTACCAGTGCCCCGGCTGCGGAAAAGGCTTCCTGCACCGCTCAGACCTGGACCGGCACGTGCGCATCCACACCGGGGAGAGGCCCTACGAGTGCTCCCTGTGCCACAAGCGCTTCACTCAGGGCGCGCACCTCACCATGCACCAGAGGGGGCACTGTGGCAAAGACACCTCCCAGTGCCACAAGTGCGGCAAAAGGTTTGCCAGCAGGGCCAACCTGATGGGACACCTGAACACTCACACGCAGGAGAAACGTCACGAGTGCCACAGCTGTGGGAAGCGCTTCAACCGGCGGACAGCTCTTACTCTGCACCAGAGGACTCACACCCAGGAGAGGCCGTTCTCCTGCCAACACTGTGAGAAAAGCTACAGGCAGCGATCCAGCCTCATGATCCACCTGAGAATCCACACCGGGGAGAAGCCCTACACCTGCAGCCACTGCTCCAAGAGCTTCATAAAGAAAGCAGGCCTCATCGCGCACCAGGCCGCGCACTTCAGAGAAGAGTTCCCCGGGAACCCGGTGCAGGAAATGGGTCCCGAGCCATGTGACAGTTGTAACCCCTAAGGGGCTGTGCCTGCGGTCGGTCGGCTGTGGCGGGACAATGCTTAGGTTTGACCTCCTTTCCCAGAACAGCTTTGCGTTCAGCTCCAGTGTGAACGCACCTTCCCAAGGCGTGCACATTCTAGAGTGTTCTCCTGCTCTTGCCATTTGCTGCCTGGCGAGGTGCATAACATCGTGTTTAATCTCTGGGTTCTTGTCCCAAGTCGCCGCAATTTTGCATAAGTAAGAGGCCTGGAAAGGCTGGCATTCCTGTGGGACCTGGGGCCCCTACCCTCAAGGCGGATGTGACCCATCCTTCTGCAGGTATGCAGTATTTTCAAGCGTGAAGGTCTGACCCGTGGAGGAAGTGCACAGGCTCGCCCTCTTTCGGTTTGGACCTTGCAGTTCAAGGTCTGAACCTCCTGGAGATGCTGTTCTCAAACATGTGGGCAGGGGGCTGGGGTCCTGGCTCAGTGGTAGAGCGCTTGCCTAGCTAGCACATGTGAGGCACTGGGTTCCATTCTCAGCACCACATTAAAATTAACAAATAACGATACTGTGTCCATCTACAACTAAAAATATAACATATATTTAAAACATGGGGGCAAGCACTCTTCTCCACTCCTGCAAGAGGCCAGGCCAGGAGCACTGCTTTTGTGCAGCCCTGGCGCTGTTTCTGTGTCCTTTGGGTCTTTCGCATGGTCCACTTCTTTCCCCCCTTTTTTAAAAGAAATTTTAATTTGTTATATATGAGAGCAAGCAGAATGCATTACAATTCATATTACACACATAGAGCAATTTTTCATATCTCTGGTTGTACACAAAGTCAAGTCACACCATCTGTGTCTTCATACACGTACTTAGGGTGATGATGTCCATCTCATTTCGTACCCCCATGCCCCCTCCCTCCTCCTCCCTCCCTTTCCCCTATCTACAGCTCATCCAATCCTCCCATGTGCCCCATCTGCATTATGAATCAGCCTCCTTAAATCAGAGAAAACGTTCAGCATTTGGGTTTTGGGGATTGGATAATTTCCCCTAGCATCATATTCTCCAACTCCATCCGTTTACCTGCAAATTGCTTTTATTCTCTTTTAATGCTGAATAACACCCTATTGTGTATATAGACCACTTTTTCTTTTTTCTTTTTATTTTTTTACTTGTAGTTGGACACAATGCCTTTCTTTCTTTCTTTATTTATTTATTTTTATGTGGTGCTGAGGATCCAACCCAGGGCCTTGCACGTGCTAGGCCAACACTCTACTACTGAGCCACAACCCCAGCTTCTATACCACATTTTCTTTATCCATTCATCTACTGAAGGGCATCTAGGTTGGTTCCACAGTTTAGCTATTGAGAACTGTGCTGCAATAAACATTGATGTGGCTGTGTCCCTGTACTATGCTGCTTTTAAGTACTTTGGGTATAGACTGAGGAGTGGGACAGCTGGGTCCAATGGTGTTTCCATTCCCAGTTTTCCAAGGAGTCTCCATACTGCTTTCCATATTGGTTGCACCAATTTTGCAGTCCCACCACCAATGTATGAGTGTGCCTTGTCCCCTGCATCCTCGCCAACACTTATTGTTGTTTCTATGCCTAATAGCTGCCATTCTGACTGGAGTGAGGTGAAATCTTAGAGTAGTTTTGGTTTGCATTTCTCTAATTGCTAGGGATGTTGAACATTTTTTCATATATCTGTTGACTGATTGTGTGTCTTCTGAGAAGTGTCTGTTCAGTTCTTTGGCCCATTTGTTGATAGAGATTCGTGCTCTATCGGATGTACATGTAGGAAAAAAAAAAAAATGTTCCCAAACTGTAGGCTCTCTATTCACCTCACTGATTGTTTCTTTTGCTGAGAAGAAGCCGTTTAGTTTGAACCCATCCCATTTATTGATTCTTGATTTTAATTCTTGCTCTATAAGGAATTTGGGGCCTAATCCGACATGATGGAGACTTGGCCTACTTTTTCTTCTAACAGGCGCAGTGTCTCTGGTTGAATTCCTAGGTCCTTGATCCACTTTGAGTTGAGTTTTCTGCATGGTGAGAGATAGCAGTTTAATTTCATTTTGTTGCATAGGGATTTCCAGTTTTCCGGGCACCGTTTGTTGAAGAGGCTGCCTTTTCTCCAATGTACGTTTTTGGTGCCTTTGTCTGCTATAAGGTAACTGTAATTATGTGGTTTAGTCTCTGTGTCCTATATTCTGTACCATTGGTCTACCAGTCTATTTTCTTGCCAATACCATGCTGTTTTTATTACTATTGCACTGTAGTAGATAGTTCAAGATCTGGTATAGTGATGCCACCTGCTTTACTCTTCTTGCTCGGGATAGCTTTAGCTATTCTGGGTCTCTTATTTTTCCAGATGAATTTTTGACTGCTTTTCCTGTTTCTGTGAGGAATGTCATTTGGACTTTGATTGGAATTACATTAAATGTTTATAGTGCGTTTGGTATTATGGTCATTTTCCCAAATTTAATTCTGTCTATCCAACAGCAAGGTAGATCTTTCCATCTTCTATGGTCTTCTTTTGTTGTTGTTGTTGTTGTTTTGGTGGTGCTATGGTCTGAACCCAGGGCTTTGTGCATGCAAGGCAGGTGCTCTAGCAACTGAGCTATATCCCCAGTCTAAGGTGTTCTTTAATATCTTTCTTCAGCATTCTGTAGTTTTTGTTGTAGAGATCTTTTACCTCTTTTGTTGATTCCCAAGTCTTTTTTTTTTTTTTTTTTTTTTTTGAGGCTATTGTAAATGTGGTAGTTTTCCTCATTTCCTTAGAGGATTTGTCACTGATATACAGAAATGCCTTTGATTTATGGGTGTTGGTTTTATATCCTGCTACTTTGCTGAATTCATTTACTAGTTCTAGAAGTTTTCTGGTGGAATTTTTTGGGTCTTCTAGGTATAGAATCATATCATTGGCAAATGGTGCTAGTTTGAGTTCTTCTTTTCCTATATGTATCCCTTTATTTTCTTTCGTCTAATTGCTCTGGCCAGTGATTCAACAACTGTGTTAAATAGAAGTGGTGAGAGAGGGTATCCCTGTCCTGTTCCAGATTTTAGAGGGAATGCTTTCAGTTTTTCTCCATTTAGGATGATGTTGGCCTGGGGCTTAGCATAGATAGCTTTTACAATATTGAGATATGTTTGTTATCCCTGGTGTTTCTAGTGTTTTGAACATGAGGGGGTGCTGTGTTTTATCAAATGCTTTTTCTGCATCTATTGAGATGATCATATGATTCTTATCTTTAAGTGTGTTGATGTAATGAATTACATTTATTGATTTCCGAATGTTGAACCAACCTTACATCCCTGGGATGAACCCCACTTGATCGTGGTGCACCATCTTTTAGATATGTTTTTGTATCTGATTTGCCAGAATTTTATTGAGAATTTTTGCATCTATGTTCATTAGAAGTATTCATCTGGTGTTTTCTTTCTTCTTTGTGTCTTTGCCTGGTTTTGGAATCAGGGTGATATTGGCCTCATAGAATGAGTTTGGAAGTGCTCCCGTGTTTTCTATTTCATGAAATAATTTGAAGAATATCGGTATTAGTTCTTCTTTAAAGGTCTCGTATAACTCAGCTGTGTATGCATCTGGTCCTGGGCTTTTCTTGCTTGGTAGGCTTCTGATGGCGTCTTCTATTTCATCGCTTGAAATTGATCTGTTTAAGTTGTGTAGATCAACCTGATCCAATTTGGGCAAATCATATGCCTCTAGAAATTTGTTGATGGCACGGTCCACTTTTGACATGTGGACCATTTCAAAGAGATAAGGCCAACTCATGGGGACAGCAGCCAGTGAAGCACAGCAGAGGGTCCCCACCACACAAAGCCCACACAAATACTATGGTGAGAATACAGAACCTGTTAACCTGCAGGCTCTGCCCTGCAGAAGCTTCCAATAAGTGTCAGCTGCCTTGATTTTGCCTGTTGTTTGAAAACGATGAAAGCAAGTAGGGCCTCCGGTTTGACTTGGAGTCTAGCTTTGCTCACCTTCCGTGACTTTGAGATAATGTTCTTGCTTGTGCTTTTACAACTACTTATAGTGAAGTTTTCATGTCACTTCCTCTTTGCTCCCAATGTTGATGTATCCCTGTCCATTTTGGTTGTATTGCATTTTGATTAATAAATGACATCCCTTCTATTTCTGCTTTGGAATAATCATTTAGATATTTGTGAATTCTTTCACATGCATCACAGGAAATAAGGGTTGGGTTTGTAGGGCACACTCCTGGAGAGAAGTCTGGGGACTCTAATTTCGAGTCTTTGGCAGCATCCCTGGCACTCGGGCCGGAACAGCAATGTGGAGTGGCATTCAGATGGCCTGCAGCTTTGTTCCCTGTGTTCCTTTGGACAAGTTCTTTTGGGCCAATTTTCAGGAAGCTAAAGCACAGTTTATAACAGGTGCCTAGTTTTTGAGGCTGGCAGTCAATACAGAAGGCTATATCGAGGATGTAGGGGAGCCCTGGCCTCTGAGAAGGCTCACCTTCAGGGATCCATCGCTGTCTTTTTCCGAAGAACAGACAGATCCCGCAGCAGCTCTCCTAAGGCTATGCAGCCATGGCATAGCTCTTGGTCCTCCTGTCAGCAGAGAGTCCCTGCAGGGGACCCTGGGTGGGTTTTGTGGCTGTGAACCTCATGAATCAGCAGGGGTTGTTTCACAGTGTGCCAAGGAGGTTAATCCAGGACAATAGGAACATACATGGGAGTGGGTGCCCAAGAGTCTCACCACTAGGTGGCAGAGGAGAGTCGTTGCTCTTTGCCTCCTACACCTGAGGTCCCCAGGCCTTCTGAAAGGACAGTCTCTTGCACCTCCAGGAAACTGTGTGAGCCTTGGTCCTCAACCCTCTCTCTGTTCTAGCCTCTGACATGGGCAGAATCTTCTCAAAACTTACCAAATCTCACTCTTAAGGCCAGGCCCAGCCCTGGGTCCTGTGCAGTGCAGACAGCAGGTGTGCATTGGATGGACAGGGTGAGCTCATCCTGAGCCTCTCTTGTGCATTCATGCTGAACTTGGCCAGCCCCCA